GCGGGAGTCCCGGCGTCCCGGACCCGGCGGGGCCCCCTCCCATGGCCAGCGCGGCTCGCCCCGGGCCCAGGGACCTGGCCATGTGAGGCCGGCCCGGGCTGGGGGCCCGGCCATGGCCGGAGAACGGCCCCCGCGGCGGGGCCCAGGGCCCGGGCCGGGAGAGGCGCCGGGGGAGGGGCCCGCGGGCGCGGGGGGAGGCCCGGGCCGGGGCCGCCCCTCCTCCTACCGGGCCCTCCGCAGCGCCGTGTCCAGCCTGGCGCGCGTGGACGATTTCCACTGCGCGGAGAAGATCGGCGCCGGCTTCTTCTCCGAGGTCTACAAGGTAGGGCCGGCCGGAGGGCGGAGGGGCGGGGCCGAGCCTGGGACCGGGGGCCGGAGCCGGGGCCCCGGGCGGGGCGACCGTCCCACCTGCGCGAGACTCGCCGGCCCCGCCACCCCCAGGTGCGGCACCGACAGTCGGGGCAGGTCATGGTGCTGAAAATGAACAGGCTCCCCAGTAACCGGGGGAACACGCTCCGGGAGGTGCAGCTGATGAACCAGCTCCAGCACCCCAACATCCTAAGGTGAGCGGCCCCGGCGCTTGCTGGGACAAGGGGGAGGATCCCGCCGGGAAAGGGGAGACTGCGGAGAGGCCGAGGACCTTACAGCCTTCCCCCCACCTCCCCTCCCCTCCAACAGGTTCATGGGGGTCTGTGTGCACCAGGGGCAGCTGCACGCTCTTACAGAGGTGAGAATGGGCCGGGAAGGGGGACCCCACGCCACCAGGGGGCAGAGGTCAATGGCCTGGTGCTTCTGAGGAGCAGTGAGGGCAGCAGGACCTCCTCCCGGGGAGTCTTCCCTAAACTTCCCCTTGGGCAGACCAGAAAGGCCCCAGCCGTTCTCATCCTCTCCCCCAATAGCACTTTCTGCCCTGATGCAGATGTTCTGTATCTGTTCCATGCAAAACCGTGAGCATGGAAATGTGGCTAGTCTGAGAAACTGAGCCTTTAATTTTATCTAAACCTACTACCTTAATTTTAAATAGTTGCGCATGTGTTGGACAGGACAGCCCTAGAATGTGAATTTGGATCCCTGGAGCACTGGCCCGCCCCTCTGACCTTTGTGATCCTCCCGAGTGTCCCCTGGCTTATAGGTGGGAGACTAGAGCACAGACTGAAGCCTTGGCATTCATGCCCCTTCTCCTCCCATCTGCCCCAGTATATGAATGGGGGAACCTTGGAACAGCTGCTGGGCTCTCCTGAACCCCTCTGCTGGCCTGTCAGGCTCCGCCTGGCTCTGGATATCGCTCAGGGCCTGCAGTACCTGCACGCCAAAGGTGTATTCCACCGAGACCTCACATCCAAGGTAGGCTGGCGGGAGAGGTAGAGGCATGAGGGGGTTGTGAGACTCCTGGGTTGTAACTAGCCTGTGGATGTTAGAATGTGGATAATAATAAGTTAGGAGGTTAGAGTAGCGAAGCAGTGGCGGGCTGGGGCGAGGGGGTTGCTCTGAGGGCTAAGTACCACGCTGTGTTTGGAGTGATAGATGATGTTGCAAGATTGGGGTGCACTGGAGAGGGTTGGGGTTATTCTGGAGTGACAGAGGTTGGGTTATAGATGGGAGATCGAAGAGCAGAAGGTGAAAGGTGTGTGGGATACTGTATGTGTATGTCAGAATTGTCTGATCCGTCGGGAAGGCCGAAGCTTCACAGCTGTTGTGGGTGACTTCGGGCTGGCTGAAAAGATTCCTGTGTATAGGTGAGCTGAATGCCCGTCCCCCAAACCTCCCAGAAGGCCCCTATCTACATGAAGCCCCCTGGGACATTTCCCCTGGGGTGGGGAGGGGGCCGGCCGCCTCTCTTTTTGTTGGGGAGGATGTCTGAGTGGGATGTTTCTGACCACTCTGCCCCTGCCCTGCAGGGAAGGGGACAGGAAGGAGCCATTGGCTGTGGTGGGCTCCCCGTACTGGATGGCTCCAGAGGTGCTGAGGGGTGAGCTATATGATGAGAAGGTAAGATGTCAATCCTTCAGGTCCCCACAGTCTTCCAGAGACCCTGAGATACTCCTATAAGTCCCTATCCCAAGTTCCTCAACACCGTTCCAGATATTCAGGAGGCCCCCAGGACACCCCCTTGCCCCTCACAGGCACCCCTCCAACACACGGAAACTGTCAAGACTCCCCCGTGAATTCTGACATATTCTAACTAAATTCTGACATGAAAACTGGCAGTTCCTCCCCCTAACATCATCTCCTACCCCCAGGCCGATGTCTTTGCCTTTGGGATTGTCCTCTGTGAGCTCATCGCACGAGTACCTGCAGACCCTGACTACCTGCCCCGTACTGAGGTGAATGATGTCCCCAGGTTTGAAAAGGAGGACCTCCAGACTGGGAAACTTATAACCAGGAAGGGTTCCCTGGAACTTGAGGTCCTGATTGGGGGCAGAAGGAGAACCCAAGGAAAGTTGACTTGGAGGCCCTTTCTGTCCCCACAGGACTTTGGCCTGGATGTGCCTGCTTTCCGGACCCTGGTAGGGGATGACTGCCCACTGCCTTTCCTGCTCCTGGCCATCCACTGCTGCAGTGTAAGAGCCTCACCCTCCCTGTCCTCCTCCCCATCCAGCAGCTGACAAGGCTGTCCTGTCCCAGGTGATGGTGGAGAACTCAGGGAACCGCTTTTGGAGCACTGAGTGAAGCTGCCCCTGTCTCTACCCATCAGATGGAACCTAATGCCCGTGCTCCCTTCACCGAAATCACCCAGCACCTGGAATGGATCCTGGAGCAACTGCCTGAGCCAGCCCCCCTCACCAGGGCTCCCCTGATACACAATCAGGGTAAGTGAGCATGACCTTAACCCATCTGGAGTCCTTTTGCCTCTCTCCTCCTTAGAACTCAGGGAATTATCTGAGGGAGACTAAGTATATTTGTTAGTTGAGAAGGCTGGGGATAGGGTGGGGGTGAAAGGACATCTCAAAGAAGATAGTTTTCTAATTCTATAGCCGTAAGGAAGGAAAAAGGTAAAAAGTGGCTGGAGATGATGTCTCCTTTCCAAAGCACCCTGTCAGACTCCCTTTTCTAAGTTCTAGTCCCACCAGCCTCCTGGTGAATAATGAGACATAGAACAAGGGTGGGGAGCCATTATTCTGCCAAGGGCCATTTGGATATTTATAACATCATTCGTGGGACATGCAAAATTATCAACTTGAAAACTAGCCTGCTATATTTGGTCAAACATTTTTTTTTTAAATATGTTTTATTGATTTTCTACAGAGAGGAAGGGAGAGGGATAGAAAGTTAGAAACATCGATGAGAGAGAAACACCGATCAGCCGCCTCCTGCACGCCGCCCATTGGGGATGTGCCCGCAACCAAGGCACATGCCCTTGACCGGAATCGAACCTGGGACCCTTCAGTCTGCAGGCCGACGCTCTATCCACTGAGCCAAACTGGTTCTGGCTGGTCAAACATTTAATTAACTCACCCTTTTTTTTTTTTTTTTTTAAATATATTTTATTGATTTTTTACAGAGAGGAAGGGAGAGAGATAGAGAGTTAGAAACATCGATGAGAAACACCGATCAGCCGCCTCCTGCACATCTCCCACTGGGGATGTGCCCGCAACCCAGGTACATGCCCTTGACCGGAATCGAACCTGGGACCCTTCAGTCTGCAGGCCGACGCTCTATCCACTGAGCCAAACCGGTTTCGGCTAATTAACTCACCCTTAATGCCTTGGCAGGGCCAGACCAAACGATTTCGTGGGCCTTATATGCCCCACCCCTGCTCTAGAAGCTATCAATACTGAGAAGAGTGATCACAGACTTCTCTGTTTACAGGGTCTGTTCCGAGAGGGGGTCCCTCTGCCACGCTTCCCAGGCCAGACCCTCGGCTCTCCCGAAGCCGATCAGACCTCTTCCTGCCCCCATCACTAGAATCACCCCCCAACTGGGCGGACAATCTGACTCGAGTCAACCCCTTCTCACTGCGGGAAGACCTCAGGGGTGGCAAGATCAAGCTCCTGGACACACCCAGCAAGCCAGTCGCCCCCTTGCCCCTTGTACCACCATCACCACTGGCTTCCACCCGGCTGCCCTTGGTGACCACTCCAGAGACCCTACTCCAGCCTGGAACACCTGCCCGCCGCTGCCGCTCATTACCATCATCCCCTGAACTCCCCCGACGCATGGAGACGGTACTGCCAGGTCCTGGCCCTCCCTCTGTGGGCCCCTTGGCTGAAGAGAGAATGGAGTGTGAGGGCAGTAGCCCTGAGCCAGAACCCCCAGCTCCCCAGCTGCCCCTGGCTGTGGCCACAGACAACTTCATCAGCACTTGTTCGTCAGCCTCCCAGCCCTGGTCCCCTAGATCAGGACCTCCCCTTAACAACAACCCCCCAGCTGTGGTGGTGAACTCCCCACAGGGCTGGGCCGGGGAGCCCTGGAACCGGGCCCAGCATAGCCTGCCCCGGGCAGCAGCGCTGGAGCGGACAGAACCCTCGCCGCCCCCTTCAGCTCCTCGGGAGTCTGACGAGGGGCTACCCTGCCCTGGCTGCTGCCTGGGCCCCTTCAGCTTTGGCTTCTTGTCCATGTGCCCCCGCCCCACACCAGCTGTTGCTCGCTACCGCAACCTGAACTGTGAGGCGGGCAGTCTCCTCTGCCACCGAGGGCACCGTGCCAAGCCACCCACACCCAGCCTTCAGCTGCCTGGGGCACGCTCTTAGCAGTGGGGCCTCCAGCTTTGGCCTTCAGGATGCCCTGTGAGGACTGCACATGCTCGACAGTGCCAGCCCCAGATGGGCTGACCAGCTGCTCCGTATAGGGGAACCTCAGCATGGACTCAAGGGACAGAACATTTCCTATCCAACCCCTGGGCTTGCTGTCCCAGGGGACCACACAGCATTGCTGACACACGAGACTAACACGTGCAAATTATTTAAAAATATTTCAATAAAACTGCCTGGCTGGCTCCGGGCTGCCCCTATCCGCTCAGCCCGTGCGCCCTCCTCCCCTCAGCCCCCTCTTCCACTATGGGAGGTTCTTGGGGGTCCCAAAATCTCTTCTGTACCCTTTTCCCAGGAATAGTCCAGTTTCTGGGACAGGATTTCAGGCAGGCAGCAGGCATAGATCAGCCCTTGGCCAGGCACTATCCAGGCAGGTTGAGGAAATGCTGGAGAGAGAGAATCATAGGACCTGTGGCTGCAGGTTAGGGATGAAGGGCACAGGCTCTTGTTGGCATGAGGATCTGGAAGAGTAAAATATCAATGAGCTCCACTGTTGACTGTCACTAAGAACCCTCATCCAGCTCCTGGACAGTCACATCACCAGCCTCCCTTCAGTTCCAGGCCTTCCCTGCCCCTCTCCCTGTGCAACACCCCCTTACACAAGTATACCAAGCTCCTGGAGGCTGTGGACGTGACTCCCAAGAACAAGTTGTGCCCCCGCCCCCCCTGCTCCCAGCAGCTGGACCCCTGCTCTGAGCCCCTGTCCTCCCAGGCTCCCAACCCTCACACTTACTCAGCTCAGTGGTAATCTGGGTACCTAATAGGTGCCATCTCACAGACACAGGGAAGAGAAGTAGTACACTCTGTCTGGTATTGGTATCTTGTCCACTTGTTTTGTACAAAGGGACATCTTTTCCTTTGGGGAACATGAGACCTAGAGAGTGATAAAATAGAACTGGGATAGGCTCTGGCCCCCACCCTCCCCCTCCCTCCTCTCTCCTTACCCTGCATAAAACAGCCCAAGTCCCAACTCACCTTAGTCCTACCTAGGGCCACATTTGGGTATGGGTCAGGGACAGATGTCTGGACTCCAACCCAAAGAGCCTTTAGGATCAGGGGAGGGAAGAATCACCCAAGGTCTTAAAGATGGAAATTCCAGTTAGAGAACATAGGTGACCTGTTTCAGGGTCCCTGGGGTTGGTCCTCAAAGTTACCTCACTGCCCTTTACTCCCCTGGAGCAATGCTAGTGCCCCAAGTGGTGGTGACTGAGAAAGTAAACCTCTGCTTGGGTAGCCTTTTCAAGGGCGTGGGAATGCCAAGGCTCTTCACCAGCTGTGAAGCCCAAGCTTCTCCTGAGAGAAAAATGACATGGGGCCCAGCCTAGTAATTAATAAAAATAAGAGCACGTGCCAGGGGCTGCTATCTGGGGGTAGAATAGAGAACAGAATGCCCTAAAGAGTTTGTAATAGAGGAAACGGACAGGCAGGCAATTTCACTATTGATCTGTGAAAGGTTTGGGAGCGGACCTGAAGGGAGATTGTCTCATTACTATGTCTCTTTGAAGGGATTATACAGTTGAAGATCCCAAAAGTCCTAACAAACTTACCCACAGACTCTTCTAGCATCAGTCCCCTACCTGTCCTTCAACCTGGTGTCAATCCAATATGAACCAGACTGTTCAGCTTGTTCCAACACCTTATATACACTGGTGCTATAATAATCCTGAGGGGAGATTCAGAGATGTGTGGAGAGTGATGAGAAATAGTGGAATGGGGGGAAGGGGTAAAAGAGGGGACCTGGGCTAATGGAAGAAAATAAATACCCTAGGGAAACCCAGGAGAGAGAGAGACAGAGAGAGAGAGTGTGTGTGTGTGTGTGTGTGTGTGTGTATACACACACACACACACACACACACATAATTGATTTCAGAGAGAAAGGGAGAGGGAGAGAGAGATAGAAACATCAATGATGAAAATCATTGGTCGGCTGCCTCCTGCACATCCCCTACTGGGGATGGAGCCCACAACCCAAGCATGTGCCCTTGACTGGAATCAAACCTGAGACCCTTCAGTCCGCAGGCCGAGGCTCTATCCACTGAGCCAAACCAGCTAGGGCAACCTAGGATCTTTGACAAGAGAACTGTGCCCATCTTTGATGACCTTTCCCTGCATCCTCCAAGTGCCACCCTGCAGATGCAGGCTCACCCTGCAGTCCCCCTCCCAGCTGGGTAAGAACTTCTGCCAGCCTGTGAAAGGCAGTCATTCTGTGGGCTGCTGTGGTCACAAGGAAACAGTCCCTACAATCCAGCCCACTAGGTCTGGGGCCTCTCTGTCTGAGGGGTCACGACAGTCAAATACTTTGTTAGGCAGCCCAGAACACTGACCAGAAAGCTGAAATGAGAAACAGGTAAAAGTAAAGACGGCTCATAAGTCAACTCTCATGCTTGGGGCTGCCTGAAGCACTGCGCTGAGAAGCTGCATGGAGAAGGAATGCATCCACAGGAAGCATGTCATGTGTGCACTGCCATCCCTGACGTGACGACATACATGCCTTTACCTAATAGTACCCATGATTGTCTGTAAATAAAGGTATGCTTACTGAATAATACTCATTCACCGTAATCGTGGCCAGGTTGGAGGACAGAGATTTACAATAGTTTTGGCTGTCTTCCCAACTTCTTTTAATAAGTGAGATGTAAAAGCAATTCGTCGCCATCAGTATCCATCCCACGGGACAGCAGGTGTCTAAAAAACAGAAAGAATGCGACAGCACAGCCCAGACCAGAGGGAGATCTCAACACTTGGAGTGAAAGTGTTGCTCAGAGATCTAGTTGCTAACAGTGGTCTCCAGTCTACTCTCAGCCCCTTCATTGACTTCTAGTCCTTGATCTTTGCAACCTTTCTGGAAATGCCAAGCCTGCGTATACTTAGTAAAAGCCTTAACATCCAACAACTTTCTCCTAACCATCTGGGAGGTTTATTTTAATAGGGCTAGCGGTACTATTCCCAAACACACCTCAAGCTGCTAGCCAACCTCCTGCCCTCTCCACTCTTCCACAAGTAGACAACCTTGGTTCCCATTTTGCTGAAATTGTCAGACACTTGATGTGAACTCTCTCCATTTCCCTCCCCTCCACCTCAAAATGTGTCTCTTCTCTGTTCCTCTTTTCCTGGCCATCCATAAGAAATAACCCACTTTCTTTAACATCCTACACCTCAACCTGTGCTCCCGACCCCAACCCACCTCTCTCCTTGCTTTGTTCCATCAGTCCTACCCTCCCCGCCCCTTCCCCCCCCCCCCCCCCCGTCACTCAAAAACCATTCCTTCTCCACTAGCTCCCTCTCTTCTGTCTACATTTTCTCATGTGCCCACTCAACTACCCTCTGGAATTATAGTTCTTGCCCCACCACCAGACTGCCCTTTGTAAATCAGTAATTTATTTTTTATTTTCCCCACCATCATTTATCCCCCATACGCCTTTTTCCACCTCCACCCTCCCTCTTCCCTAGTATATCAGTAATTTAAAGGGGGAAAAAAGTTGGTGTGGTCAAACTGAAGAGGGTGACGGGGGAAGTGGTATGCTGAAAGGTAGGCAGGGGCCTTGAACGCCATGTTAAGGAATTTTTTATTTTTATATTCCAAGGAAGAGAAAGTCAGTGTGGAGTTTTACATACAGGAATGTTGCTCGCTGCCTGTATCCCAATGCCTGGGCACAGTGCTGGACATATAGTATGTATTCCATAACCTTTAATTAATTAACTGGGATGATATGATCAGATTTTTGTTTTTAAAGATTACCCTGGCTGCAATATGAAGAGTGGAATGAGGGTGTACGGGGGTGTTTAGGGAGAACATCCAGCAAGCTGTTGCAGTTATCCTTGCAAGAGATGGGGGTGGGCAAAATGTAAGTGGACATACAGACTTGGTGGTGGGAAACGGAGGGCATTCCTCTCTAACGGAATAGGGCTTCTGCTGCAAGCCAGACGGGGCAGTAGGGTAAGTTCTTATGGAGAGCGAGGCGGCCACTGCGGAGTTGCCAGGCAGCGCTGAGGCCCCAGCTGAGGTTCAAACTAGAGTTTCAAGGCACCAAGCAGAATGATTGCACCATGTGGCTCACCAGGGTGCAGGCACGGGCAAGGTGGGCAGGGGAGTTCATCCAGAGTTGAGATATCGCCAGTCAGGGGCACCAGAAGGACAGTGGGACAAAGGAGTGAGTGACTGAAGTGACGCCCGGGATGCAAGATGGGCAGAGAGAAGTGAGGACAGGTGAGGCTGCCAGGAAGGGAGGAGACAGGGCTCTCCATGGGGCGGAGAACTCCGGCGGCTGAGGAGTGTGGGGAGCCTGGAGCAGGCAGTAGTGGTCAGAATGAGGTCTGAAACCCTCCTTTCAGCAGAAGAGCAGTTTGGGATGCTGAGCTCAGGGGCAGCTGTGGGAGTGGGTGGCAGCATGGCATGGAGCTGAGCGTCATAGAGATTAACAAGGTAAAAAATAAAACGCGGGCTGGGGGTGGATGCACATAACCTCCATCCCTCACAGCAGACCTCCCGCCTCTCCTTTCCCAGAGCAGATACCTGAGGGGTGGTGGTGTTCCAAGTTGGACTTCGGCGTTTCCGGCACGCAGAGGGGCTTCAGCGTGTCCCGCAAGCGGTTCAGCCTCTCCTCCACGTCCCTCCTCTGCGTCTCCTCATGTCTCAGGGCCTCCTTTGTCTCCTCCCAGCCGGCCAGCCAGTCCTGCGACTGCTTCCTGACGGCCTGGCAATCGCGCTGTTCCACCTGCAGCGCTTCCCGCGTCTGGGCCAGCTCCCTCCTGGAGCCCTGCAGCTCCCGCTCCTGCTGGCCCAGCTGCGCGCTCTGCAGGCGGAGCTGCTGCCTCAGGCTGCTGTTAGTGGCGTCCAGGGCCCTGCTCGTGTGCTGGAGCTGCTGAGACACCTGCACATCTGCTTGGCCAGAAGGAGAGATGTGGGTGCCCTGTGCCCTGGGACCCCGCGCCAATCCTTTCCCTGTTGCTTGCGACATTCTGCATGCCAAGCTGAAATGTAAGCTCTGGCTGCCTGAAGTTTAAGGAATGACTGGACTGGGTGAGGCTAATTTAGACTCGGCAAACTGCGGCTCGAGAGCCACGTGCGGCTCTTTGGCCCCTTGAGTGTGGCTCTTCCTAAGCCTTAGGAGTACCCTAATTAAGTTAATAACAATGTACCTACCTATATGGTTTAAGTTTTAAAAATTTGGCTCTCAAGAGAAATTTCAATCGTTGTACTGTTGATATTTGGCTCTGTTGACTAATGAGTTTGCCGACCACTGATAGAGCAAGACCAGGCTGGAAACCAGACCTCAAGCTTAGGCCGGGGTGGTGGTAACTCCGGCCCCTGCTGGGGGAGGGCAGCTGCTGTGGGAATGCGGGGAGTGGGAGATGGGAGCCATACTCACAGCGCACCCCCAGGGCGATGGCAGCCACCCCTAACAGCAGGCAGGTGAGGAGCAGGCCCAGAAGGAGGTATTTCCAGCAGGTTGGGCTGCCCTGGCCTTCGGGAGACAGTGGCACGAGGCGCAGTGAGCCCAGGAACGAGTTTATAAACCCGGGGGGGGGGGGGGGGGGGGGCGGGGGGCGGATATTCTTGGGAAAGAGCCTCGCTCAGAGGACGCGGTGCAGGCGCGGTGGTCGGCCGCGCAGTGAGTCCGCAGGTAGCAGGAAGGCGTCCGGAAGACGGGCTGGAGGTGAGGAGGATGGAGGGCACTGCCTGGCAGGAGGCCCTGAACCCCAGGCCCAGGCGGGCAGAGGTATGTGAATGGGGGCCTCCTAAGTGCGAGTGGGGAGAGGATCTGGGTCGACAGCTCAGAAAGATGGGGTGAAAGGGGCAGAGGAGGGGGGCGCGGGGCTGCCCGGGACCAGACCAGCACCCCCCGGGGCCCCGCACCCCCCCGCCGGCCGCGGCGCCAGCACCCCCACCCCCACCATCCCCCGGCGCCCAGCCCCTCGGGGCCTGGCGCGTCCGCGCGGTGGGCGAGGCCGCAGAGCCCCGCGTGCCCGCCCCGCCCCGCCTGCCGCCCGCGCGGAGGACGCGCTACTCACCGCCCAGGAGCCGCCAGGCTGCGGGCGACGTCACGGAGCTCCAGGGCGCGGCGGCCGGCTCCGGCTGCACCCCTGCGCCGGGTGAGCGAGTCCCGTTAGGAGACGGAGCCCCGGAAAAGCCCCCTCTGCCCCGTGTCCCCCGCTCCTGGCGCTGCTCTCCGGCCTCCCGTGCCCGCCCTCCCGAGTTCCGCGGCTCCCGGGACTGCCTCCTGCCCGTCCGGGGTCCCACCGGGCCTTCCCCAGACCCTCTCCGCGCCCTCCGGAGTCGGCCGCCCACCCTCTCCCGGGACTGCCTCCTGCCCGTCCGGGGTCCCACCGGGCCTTCCCCAGACCCTCTCCGCGCCCTCCGGAGTCGGCCGCCCACCCTCTCCCGGGACTGCCTCCTGCCAGTCCGGGGTCCCACCGGGCCTTCCCCAGACCCTCTCCGCGCCCTCCGGAGTCGGCCGCCCACCTTCTCCCGGGACTGCCTCCTGCCCGTCCGGGGTCTCACCGGGCCTTCCCCAGACCCTCTCCGCGCCCTCCGGAGTCGGCCGCCCACCCTCTCCCGGGACTGCTCTCAGCCCTGCCCGACCCCCTGGTTTCCCTTCGAACGCCTCTCCCCGCAGGGCTGCCCTGAGCCCTGCCCTCTCCCCAGGGGACCCACCTTCCCCTGGGAGCGAGCGTCACTCTGCCCCTGGCTGCCATTTATCCAGGGCTCCTCCTTCTCTTTGCTAGGGGCCCCCCTCCTTCCCCAAGGATATTGTCCTCCCAAGACGGCTCTGGACTCCCCAGCTCTAGACACGGCGCCCCGGCAAACACCCAGCCCTGGGCTCTCCATACCGGCCTTGTCCCCTAGCCCAGAAGAAGCCAAGTTTGAGGCCCCCCCTGAGAGTGTGGGCACTTGCACGTTCTCGTAGGTGAGCTCCCCGTCATCGTCAGCCTCTGGGTCTGTAGAAGAGAGAAAAGGGGCCGAGGTGGGAGCTGGGAATGGGGGCTGAGGGGTGGGCGGGGTGGGGTCAGGAAAGAGGCTGGGGATGCAGGATCCAGGAGACCCCTCCTCTGCCCTTACCCTGTCCTGGCTGGCTGGAGACCCTCTTCTTCAGGGGAGCCTTCACGAACCGCAGGTCTGCGTAGGTGACAGACTCGGCCATGGTCCTGGCACCTCTGCGCCGGCTCCCCTTCTCCCCCTTCTCTTGCCGCTCTCCCCTCTGTCCCTTCACACTCTGAGGCTCTGTGGTCCCTCCGTGCCTGTGCGGCTCAGTGCGTTGCCCTGTGACTTCTAGTCACAAAAGAGGAAGATGTGAGCAAGTCTCAGACAGATGGGTTCAGTGAAGCAGATGGCATCCTGAGCCCTGGCCTGGCCGGGGAGGGGAAACTAAGGCCCAGAGCACGGGGCTGGGCTCGGGGGTCACAGGACCACACTCAGGCCGGCCCTGCGCCTCTCTCTGTCCCACCTTCATGTAGCGCAGGCGCCCAGTGCCGCCCTCTGATCCTCTCCCCGGATGTGCCTATGCCGCCCTCCTGGCTGCCGTGGCCAGAGGCTTTCTCTGTGTAGTCAGAGCTCTTTTGTGCCCAACTGACCCGGAGGCTCTCCCCAGTCCTAGCTCCAGGGTGGGGCTTCATCCTCCCCATCAGATTGGGGGGGGGGGGGCAGGGTGTAGTGTGGAGCCCTAGCTCGTCATTCTGGGGTTCCCGATAGGAGTCTCTGACTTTTTGGACTCATCTCTCCCCATCAGTTTGGGGACTTCCAGGGTGGACCCAGCTCCCCTCCTGCTGTAGGTCCACAGAGCACAGGGCGTCTCACTCCAAAGCCCTTGCTGGGAATGGCAGTCTTTGGAGGATGCAGAGAATCTGGGACCACACTTTCTCCTCTGTGACACCCCCAGACTCCACAGCCTTTCCCTGACCCCTCCCACCCTTGTTGCCCCACTGCTCACACCTGTGGCAAGTCAGCCCCTTCTGGGCCCCCTCCTGCCCCCTGCTGGACCCATGTCATCTCCTGTGTCCCAACATCTGAGCTGGATCCAGCCAGCTGTCCCTGAGGCAAGGGCTCTGAGCTCGGACTGGGCGGGGGTGACAAGACGACGGGAGGCAAAGAAGCGAAGCAGAGCCCACTCTGGACTGGTGAGATTTTGATATTTTCTTGCCTTGGTTTTGCTTTCTTTCTTACTTTACTAGTAACTTCTTCCTTTAGAAAGTCCCAGCACTGTCCCTTCACACCCATCCTGGAGGAAAAAGGGGCATTTACGGGGAAGACCAGGGGCTAATGGGCGGGGAGGGGGGCGAGGGACAGCAGGGGAAGCAGGAGGTGGCTGATGAGCTATGGTTCAAAGGTGCTCCCTGGTTCTCCTTTACGGTTGTGACTTAGACTGTGACCCCCAAAGGGCCTACTTATGGGGGTGGGAAGCAGTTAGGACAAGACAAGGTAGGGGTGGGGAAAACCCACCTCTCGTGGGTGACATCTGCCCCCTCAGAAACACCCCCCTGCAGCTGCGGGAGGAAAGGGGAAGGAGCGAGTTCCTCACCGCAGCCTCACAGCCTGTAGTGTGGTCAGTGGTGTGTGGAGGAGCTGTGATGGCCTGTGGGTCTGGGGAGAGCTCTGGCAGCGGCACCCAGCCTGCCCAGACGGTGCCCGCTGAGGCCGACGTGCACATTTCCCACCCGAGGAATGTGTCTCAGGGAGAGGCAGGTGTGTGTGTGCGTGTCTATGAGTGTGTGTGAGTGCAGGCACACAACCGCGGCTCTTTGTGGTCTCTTAGGGATGTCTGTGCGAGGTGAGCATCTAAGCCGCCCCGGAGGATTACGCAAGGGGGAGGGGGGGGAGGGGGGGCGGTCCTGCGGGCTCACGGGTGCCTGTGCTGCTGTTATTTTCTTCCACAGCAGGGAATTCTCAGAGAAGTCTTAAGAGGTCATGGGGACAGATTCTACAAATACTTCCTTTTTAAGGCTCACTGTTTCCTAGGGTGTCCCTGCAGCTGTTAACTGTCCCTGCTTAATTAAAGTTTCCAATAACCCAGTCCCCTCCCCTGGCACCCGGTCGGGGCCTCCCTCCGATAGCAGACGGTTGTGTGTCGGTGACTCCCTGGGGGCCTGGAGGCCTGTGAGGTGAGTGGGAGCACAGCGCAGCTGGTGGCAGCGTGTGGGAGGGTGCAGTCAGGGTTCTGTGTCTGTGGCGGGGTGGGGGTGGGGAGGCGGCGTGTGTGTATAAATCAATTGCGGGAACACTTGCAGAAATGCTATAAACTACAGATAGTGTTCCAGTGTTCAGAGCCACACTCGAGTGAACGTGGCTTGTGCTGGAAGCCAATTCCACATGTCAGCAGGGCTGAATCATCTGGAAGTGGCTGAGGGCCTTTCCCCAAACCTGAAAAGGATGCATAAATGATCGCTGGCTGCCAGACAGCTGAGGGCATTTCAATCTACATGTTATTGCCTCCTGCTGGCCAAACACCTGAGCAGCCGTAGGCAGCTTCCCCCAATCTGACAATGGATTCTGTATACCAAACCCTGCCCTTTGATGTGTATACCTACCTTGCCTTAGGACAATTTGTGTTAATAAAAAGCAAGGGGTCCTGAGACAAGGAGAACTTGGTTCCTTTAGCTAAGTCTTCTCTGGCTCCCCAAAATGCCTTCCAAAATTATGTTTCGTCTCTGGACTCTTGATTAATTCAGACACAGCACCTTCTCCAGATTCCTGAACCCTTCTAGCTGCTGGATTAAGACCACCGGCAGCTTGGATGCCAGGTAAAATGCCAAAACCAAGCTTCCAGTATGTGCTTGAAAAAGAATCAATGTGGCCCTAGCCAGTTTGGCTCAGTGGATAGAGCATCAGCCTGGGGACTGTCCCGGGTTCGATTCCGGTCAAGGGCACATGCCTGGGTTGCAGGCTTGATCGCCACTAGGGAGTGGAGCAGGAGGCAGCTGATCAATGATTCTCTCTTATTGATGTTTCTATCTCTCCCTCTCCCTTCCTCTCTAAAATCAATAAAAATATACTTAAAAAAAAAAAAAAGAATCAGTGGGCATGCTGCCTAACTTCCCCTTGGAGAGGCTTCAGAAGGGAGAGTGCCCAGTGGGACTCGGATGCACCAAACTGCACACCCGCAGTGGCCTGGCTGTCCGAGGTAGGCTTGGCCTAGATCCCTCTCCTCTTTGGCTCTCCTGGTGATGGTTACGCATCTCCTTAGGACAGCCTGCGTTCCCTTCCATCCTAGACTGTCTTGTGGCCTCCTTTTGTGAATAGGGATGAGATCAGGGTCCTCTTTCCCCACGTGGTCTCTGCAATATTGACACTCATTCCCTTTCAAAACTGGACATCAGAAAGGACACCTGTAACTCTGAGCTGCACCTCACCTGCCCAAATGCCAGCAACACCTGGGGCTTTTAAGAACTGAGGGGCAGCCCTAGCCGGCTTGGCTCAGTCGATAGAGTGTCAGCCTGCAGACTGAAGGGTCCCAGGTTCGATTCCGGCCAAGAGCACATGCCTGAGTTGCAGGCTCGATCCCCAGTGGGGGGCGTGCAGGAGGCAGCAGATCGATGATTCTCTCCCATCATTGATGTTTCTATCTCTCTCTCTCATTCTCCCTTCCAATCTGAAATCAATCAATTAATACATTTAAAAAAAAAAAAAAAAAGAACTGAGGGGCAGTGCTGTACAGCTTTTCCGGGACCATAATATCATCTGCAGCCCCGGAGGGCAAACACCAAAGCCCATTTCCTGCCTTCTCCTGACCTCTGCTGCTTATCACAGGGAATGGGTTCTAAGGTGACAAGAGGAGGGAGCCAGCTATGAGGGCATCCGGAAAGAATTTGCTGTGTTAAAGGGGCTCATCTGGATCCACTTTGGTGAAGTGCAGCCAACATCAGGAAGTCAAGGAAGCCTCTCGATACCCTGAAAGTCATGCTATCTCTGTCTTTTTACCTTAACCCACTGGCTCCAGGACGCCCCAAGCTATGGATAGGGCATGGTCGGCAGAATAATGGCCCCCCAAAGTGTTCACACACTGTAATCCCAGAACCTGGGAATATGTTGCTTCACCTGACAACAGGCAGTTTGCTTCGGGGAAGAGCCTTTAGATGGGGAGACCATCCTGTTTTATCCTGGTGGGTCCAGTCCAACCAAATGAGTCTTTGTGCGTTTTTTAATCTTTACTGTTGAAAGTATTACATATGTGTGTCCCCCCCCCCCCCCCATTAACCTCTCCCCACCCCCCACCCCCCTGCAATCACATGAGTCTTCGAAAGGGAGACACTTTCAGGACCATGGGGAGAAAGAGATTCCGCCTGGAAGAAGAGGCGGAGATTCGGGATGAGAAGGACTCCACCCAGTTGCTGGCTTTGAAGTTGGAGGAAGGAACCCTGCGCCCAGGAGTGCAGGTGGCCTCTAGGAACTGGAAAGGAGAGGGAACAGGCTTTCTGATAGAGCCTCCGGAGAGCTCGGCCAACACCGTGACTGGAGGCCAGTGAGACCTATGTCAGACTTCTGATCAACAGAGCTAGGAGATGAGAAACTTGTCTTTTTTGAGCCACTAAATTTGTAGTAATTTATTACAGCAGCAATAGATGAGTTTCCCGAACTGTAGAAGAGGCATGATATAAAGGAAAGAACATGCTATTATGGGTAAAGAAGACAGCCCTGGCCACTGTAGGTGACTTTGGGCAAGTCACAAATTTCTATCTAAAATATGGGATTGTCTCAACAGTGTCTGACATAAATCAAGGATGTGATTGCTGCCGATATAGTAGGTATAGATTTAGCAAAAGCGTCTTTAGAAGTCTCGGTAACTTCAAGTCACGAGGGAGAACCGTGTGCCATCTTATAGCACTATGGAGGAGATTGGCAGCCCTTTGATCACTGAAGCCAAAGTGTGTCCGTAGGTCTCCAGTGACTTGCCCCAGGCCTCTCTTTGGCCCTGTCTTGAATGGTGATACAGAAAGCACATTCACAGATGCTGATGGTAAGGAGCTAGGCGCTATAATAAAACAAACAAACAAAAAGAGAGTATACCAAAAGGGAAACTCAAGATTCAAACATTAAGACGGAAAAATGAGCCTTAGCCGGTTTGGCTCGGTGGATAGAGAGTCGGCCTGTGGACTGAAGGGTCCCGGGTTCGATTCCGGTCAAGGGCACATGTCCGGGGTACAGGCTCGATTTCCAGTAGGGGGCGTGCAGGAGGCAGCCAGTCAATGATTCTCTCTCATCATTGTTGTTTCTATCTCTCCTGTGGGAAGCCACCTATTGTCTCCACTAGCAGAGAGGTGTGGACAAGGAACCCGGGAAGGCTGGTGACCCTTGATGTCCTGGCAAAGGTCAGGGCTGTGCACCCACTGTTAGTCCAGACAATGGTAGCTGAAGCAACTTCCCCATTTATTATTATGTAAATCCTTGCTAAAGGGCAAGTCTGCCTGTTACTGGAAATTGCCTGCCTAAGGGCTATGGGTGTATCCCAAACCAATAAAAGGTTGGTGAGGCCTGAGCACCAGTGGGAGTCCTTCCCCTTGAGTTGGACTTGCCCACCTGGCCCCCCAATATTTCCAAATGTCTCGTCTCTTTCATTTGTGTGTGGCCCCTCTTCCAGATCCTGAACCCTGAACCACGCAGGATGTGGGGGGACAAACACATAAACATTACACACTCTCCCTCTCCCTTCCTCTCTGAAATCAATAAAAATAAAAAATTAAAATTAAAAAGAGCTTACAATTGAATCAGAGAATTTTGTGAGGACCAATAAAAACCTTATTAAAAAAGGGGGGGGGGGGATGATGGTTCCAAATCACAGAACAAACTGTAATAAAGGTAAATAACAGCGAGTATTGATTGAAAAATGAAATTTGGGGTTCAAAAATAAGTGACAGAAGCGTGGAATGGAGGAGGTCTGGCTGAACAAAGCTTATGTACAAAGCTTGAGGAGAAAGGCAGTTACCAGGCATGCTGGAGCTCGAAGGGGTCATAGTGAGCCCAACCCACTTACCATACAAATTAGGAAACTGGGCTCAGTAGGTTGTAAGTTAATTATGAACTAACCTCATGCCTGTGAGGGCTTGTGACAAAAGTTTGTCCCTATATGGTTGATTTCAGAGAGGAAGGGAGATGGGGAGAGAGATAGAAACATCAATGATGAGAGAGGATCATTGATTGGCTAGCCTCTGCACACCCCACCCTGGGGATCGAGCCCGCAACCCAGGCATATGCCCTGACCGGGAATCAAACCGTGACCTCCTGGTTCATAGGTCAAAGCTTAACCACTGAGCCACGCCGGCCAGGCAGGCCTACAGCACTTTTACTAAATATGTCACACATTGTGCCAGCCACACTTACCAGCCCCTTTAAAGGGGGTGATTCCTGCTGATGAGGCAGCCTTAGGCCCCCAAAATTGTATTATGTGACCCCCAACCCCTCTGACCTCAGCTGTTTGGGCAACTGACTCAAGCCTGTGTCCTATGGGGTGGCCTGGCCTGAAGTCAGAATTATAAACTTTTCATTCAGGAATTTTGCCGGAAGCGGGTCCATCCTTGCTGCTTGACACGGTTGCTGCAGGGAAGAAACATATGCACAGCATATGTCTCGGGGGACCTGGCGTATATGGCATACTGTTCTTGATGTGTTTGCTCCCCTTCTTGGCGCTATGTGTTTTAACCAAGGTCACCTCTTCGAGAAAGGTTGTTTCCCCAGGTAGGGATTTTTCCCTGAAGTTAGGGAGGGAATAAAATCCCTTAACTAAGTGCCAGGCGGGTAGTTAATCACTTTAACTACGAACAATCATGCTTAAACTACATAATCTTTACTCCCTGGAATGAAGATAAGAAACGCCCTAACCTTTGGAAAAGAAATTGACAGGATTAAAATCAACTGGTATAAATACAGATTTAACAAAACAATAAAATACAGAACCTGGCTACACAGAACTTGTCTGGAGATCCTGGCTAGAGAGCCTGGCTAGGCTGCTGATCAACTGAACGCTGTCTCCGTGTCCTTCGCCCACTTTGTCCACACCTTTGGGAACCCCTGGACCTGCTGGGGTTGGACCCCAACATCTGAGCTGCCAAGGGCAGTAGTCCTCCAGCTACATTGATTGGCTGCAGGTGGGCAGTGGAGCTCCTCTAGGCACCCACCTCTGTAGCTAAGGACCTCACAGGACACCAGGGGCTGACCGTAATTGACAGAGAAATGGCAGGTGAAGGAGCTGTGGCAAAACTCCAGACTGAAATCAACGGTCCCATCTGCCTGGATAACCTGAGAGACCCTGTCACCATCAAATGTGGGCACAACTTCTGTCGCTCCTGCATCGAGAGGTCCTGGGCTGATGTGCAGGACAGGTTCCCTTGCCCTGTGTGCCGTCACCCATGCAAAGAGAGGCACCTGTGGAGCAACACCCAGCTGGAAAGGATGGTTGACATGGCCAAGCTCCTCCAGATCACAGAGGCCAAGATGAAGCAGCAGGAAGAGAGGCGCTTGTGTGAGAAGCACAGCCAGGCCCTGACCCTCTTCTGCGAGGAGGACCTAAAGTTGTTGTGTCCCCTGTGCACTCAGCCCCCTGACCACCAGGGCCACCACGTGAGGCCCATGGAGGAGGCTGCCTCTCATCACAGGCAAAAGCTCAGGAGTTACATTGAGCCCCTGAAGGAGCAGCTGGCAGACCTTCAGAAACTATTAGCCACTCAAGACAGGCAACAATCAGAACTGAGAGAAAAGGTGGAAAAGCAGAGAGCAAAGTTAGCCTCTGAATATGGGAGTGTGATGGCATCCATAGAGTGTGAGCAAGCGGCAGTTCTCTCAAGGCTAGCTGCACGAGAGCAGCACATTCTACGGAATCTCACTGCAAACGAAGCTGCATTTTCAGACCACATTTCCAAACTTAGAGTTCTGCGAAAGGAGATGGCAGAGACGAGTGTGGTGTCAGATGTGAAACTGCTGATGAACATCAAGGGTGTCCTCCACCGTTGTGATAACCTAGAACCTCCAGATTTCTATTGCGTCAAGTATAAGAGAGAAGAATTCAGTCTTCCTCCACAGTGTTCGGCCCTGCTGCAAATCACGCAGACATTTAGAGAAGAAGTTACTCTGGATCCCGAAACTGCACATGCTCATCTGCTTGTGTCTGAGGATAAAAAGTCTGTGACATTTGTGAGGAAAAAGCAAGGAATTCATCGGAATCCAAAGGGATTTGCAGACGACGCAGTTGTCCTGGGCTCTGAAGGGTTTGACTGTGGCCGACATTACTGGGAGGTCCAGGTGGATGACAAGGCTGGGTGGGCCGTGGGGGTCTGTAGAGACTCCCTTTCCAAGGAGAGAAAGCAGCCCCTGCTCAGACGGGAGAAGAGATGTTGGGCGATTCAGCTGCAGGACGGTGACTATGTGGCTCGAGGGCCTGTTCCTGTCACCCTTGTGCTGCAGGAAAGGCCCAGAGGGATGGGCATCTACCTGGACTAGGAGATGGGTCACGTTTCCTTTTACAGTTTGAATGACATGTCTCACATCCATTCCTTCAGGGATACATTTTCTGAGGTGCTAGAGCCTTACTTCTATGTCGGGTGTGATCCCAAACCTCTTACCATCCGTGCTTTAAGAGATTAGGAAGGATGAACTGTTACTTTGGTTCATTTTCTTCCTGTGACTTATAGGCAGTAGGTAGAATTTTTTAAATGATAATTTTATTGTTACTTTATTTTTAAATATATTTTTATAGATGTCAGAGGGAAGGAAGAGGGAAAGGGAAAGAAACATCAGTGATGAGAGAGAATCATTGATTGGCTGCCTCCTGCACACTCTGGATCCAGCTCCCAACCGAGGCATGTGCTTTTAACTGAATTGAACCCAGAATCCTTCAGTCCACAGGATGAAGCTCTAGCCATTGAGCTAAACCAGCTGAACCTCTACCTGGGGAAACAACCTTTCTCGGAGAGGTGACCTTGGTTAAAACACATAGTGCCAAGAAGGGGAGCAAACACATCAAGAACAGTATGCCATATACGCCAGGTCCCCCGAGACAAATGCTGTGCAGATGTTTCTTCCCTGCAGCAACCGAGTCAAGCAGCAAGGATGGACCCGCTTCCGGCAGAATTTAAATGGGAGAATATGGAGATGACCACTCAGTTCACAGTGGGAGCTGAAGGTGAAAGGTTGCATAGAGTCTACTTCTGTCTACAGAGTAGAGTCCTCCACAGAAAGATGTTTCTATCTCTCCCTCTCCCTTCCTCTCTGAAATCAATAAAAATGTATTTTTTAAAAGTGGTATCTCATTATTACTAGTACATTAAGTTGCATGTCCCTGACTCCTAGTGAATTTGAATATATTTTCATGTTTATTAGCCAGTTGGATTTGCTCTTCTAGGAATATTAGATCCTTTGTATATATTTTTCTTCCCTTCCCCTCCCAATCTTATTTTGAAACATTTCAAGCCTAAAGGAAAATTGAAAGAATAACAATAAGTGTTTATATGTCCTTCATCTAGTATGTCAGTCACGGCTCAATCAAGCTGTTCTCACCACATAAAAGAAATGACAATTATATGACATGATAGGGGTAAGTTAACTATGGTGGTAATCATATTTCAATATATAAATGTATCAAATCAACATGTTGTTCACCTTAAACTTGCACAACGTTATGTATCAATTATACCTCAATAATAAACAGCTCAATCAGAGAAGCAGACCATTAGGATATGCATATACATATTCATATACACATTACTTTTTCAGTTAGGAGATTTGTTACAGGGAGTTGCCTTTACACAATTATGCAATTGTAAGAGCTGGTTAAACAATCTGTGAAAGGCCTTTGTCTTTGCTTCTGATGTTGGAGCTTGGAGTCTATGGGCAGGAAGGCAGGAAGGGAAGGCAGATGGAATGTGGGGGAGTGGGGGTAAGCCAGAACCCATGAGGACAGACTGGAACCCGAGTCAGTCTCACGTTGCCTCCAACTTTGATGATGCGAATGTCCTGCAACAGAAGCTCCATTGCTCCACTGGGAGGCGAGCCCTGCAGTGCACATCCTCGCACAGCACGGGCACTGTCAGGACAGCCATTGTTCCAGGGCCATTTATATGTTAGCCTTCCTTTTCCCAGGGAGTTGAATTCCATTTTCTCGTTATGTATCAATTATACCTCAATAATAAACAGCTCAATCAGAGAAGTTTATGTTTGTTATATGTATCTTGTATCCAGTCAACTTTCCAAGTTATATTTTTTACTAGGTTTTTTTTAACTAGAGTTTTTTACTATAGTCTTCTGAATTTTCTTTTTTCTTTCTTTCTTTCTTTTTTTTTTAATTAAATCTTTATTGTTCAGATTATTACATTTGTTCCTCTTTTTTCCCCCCATAACTCCCCTCCTCCCAGTTCCTGCCCCACCCTCCGCCCTCACTCCCCACCCACTGTCCTCATCCATAGGTGCACGATTTTTGTCCAGTCTCTTCCCGCATCTCCCACACCCCTTTGCCCCCCAAGAATAGTCAGTCCATTCCCTTTCTATGTCCCTGATTCTATTATGATCACCAGATTATTTGTTCACTTGATTCTTAGATTCACTTGTTGATAGATGCATATTTGTTGTTCATAATTTGTATCTTTACCTTTTTCTTCTTCTTCCTCTTCTTAAAGGATACCTTTCAGCATTTCATATAATCCTGGTTGGTGGTGATGAACTCCTTTAGCTTTTCCTTATCTGTGAAGCTCTTTATCTGACCTTCAGTTCTGAATGATAGCTTTCCTGGCTAAAGTAATCTTGGTTGTAGGTTCTTGGTATTCATCACTTTGAATATTTCTTGCCATTCCCTTCTGGCCTGCAAAGTTTCTGTTGAGAAATCAGCTGACAGTCGTATGGGTATTCCCTTGTAGGTAACTGAGTTTCTTTCTCTTGCTGCTTTTAAGATTCTCTCTTTGTCTTTTGCTCTTGGCATTTTAGTTATGATGTGTCTTGGTGTGGTCCTCTTTGGATTCCTTTTGTTTGGGGTTCTCTGCGCTTCCTGGACCTGTAAGTCTATTTCTTTCACCAGGTGGGGGAAGTTTTCTGTCATTATTTCTTCAAATAGGTTTTCAATATCTTGCTCTCTCTCATCTTCTGGCACCCCTATAATTCTGATGTTGGTACGCTTGAAGCTGTCCCAGAGGCTCCTTATACTATTTTCGGATTCTTTTTTCATTTTGCTTTTCCAGTTGGGTGTTTTTTGCTTCTTCGCATTTCGAATCTTTGACTTGATTCTTGCGCTCCTCTGGTCTGCTGTTGGGTGTCTGTATAATATTCTTTATTTCAGTCAGTGTATGCTTAATTTCTAGTTGTTTCTTTATCACAACATCGAGGGTCTCATTAGATTTCTTGAGGATCTCACTACATTTATCGGCAGTTTCTAGAAAATTATTGAAAGACCTTAAAATTGCGGTTTTTAGCTCTATATCCTCCATTTCTGTCATGTTTCTTTGTCTCTGCATTTTTTATGCTTTCTTGGTGCACCCCCTTGTGGTCTTTGTGCGCAGTCTTGTTGTAGTTAAGCCTTGATTGTTGTCGGCAATACTGGGGGTGATTTGACCTCCAGGCCAACTGGCTATGAGAGTCCTGAATTTTCTGATAGTACAATCAAATTATTATACAAACACCTAGTTTTGGATTCCTGTTTTATTCCTCTGATCAATTATTTTCCCTTTACCTATTGATTTGATCAAGTGGCCTTATAGTGTGTTCTGATAGTTGGTAAGGCAAAATTATCTTATTTTCTTTAAATATTTGTTCTTGACTATTCTTTGAGGTGTTAATTGTAAATATTTTAACTGTATACATTCTTTAATTTTTGAAGAGTTGATTTTTTGGAGAATCATTTTTTGATGATATTGTTAACGTAAAAAACAAACAAACATTGAAACCTGTAAAGAATTTTTGGTGAGTTTATTTGAGCCAAACTGTCGACATATGCCAGGAAGCAGAACCTCAACGAATTGAGATAATGCTCCGGAAAATGGTGGTGTTACATCCGTATTTATACATTGCAATCAAAGGAGGGACGTAGGTGGGTTACATGAAATTCATTGGTGACAGATGAAGGAGGAGGGATAAAGCAAAGCAGGGAAACCCCTGGGATTGGATAAAAAGTAAAATGATGGACACATACTTAGGTGGGTGCAGGAACAATTAACATGATGATGAAGGAATATGTGGTATCTGTCCTGGCGTCCAGCACATTTGATTGTGCCCCAGGGGCTCCAGAAAAAGGGAAGTCACAAGTTACCCAGACATCCCAAGGATATGTTATCATAGATGCAAAAAGACAGATATGCTCAGTTGACCTTATCAGTGAAGATACTGGCCTAGGACGTAACTGCCCACCATAACTGCTTTTAGTTATTAAAGTTTAATTTTGGACCATCCTTTGTGGTTACTTTAGGTCTCTGAGTCTGCAAAACTGCTATGCAGGCCTCCCCTGAGCTTGTCAGGTCAGCATGTGGCCCCTTTCGTCCACAATATGTTATCTTCCAAGCCAAGGAAATGGTTGATTTCCTGTTTGTCCCAATCTTGCTTTAGGTCTTTGAATAATATTGTATAACTTTCTTCATGAGCGCTATGTGTTTCTTGATTAAATTCACATATAAAACTTACAGTTATTAGGGATGTAATGTACACCATGGTGACTGTAGTTACTCATGCTGTATTATATATTTGAAAGTTGCTAAAAGAGTTGATCTTAAAAGTTCTCGTCACAGGAAAGATGTGTAACTACGTGAGGTGATGGATGTTAACCAAACTTATGGTGGTGATCATTATGTAGTATACCTGAAACTAATATAATGTTACATGTCTATTATATCCAATTTTTTAAAAATTTACATACTGTAACACAGTGATTACAAGGATAGTCTCAATGCCAAACTGCAAGGATTCAAATCCCAACTCTTAACACATTACCAGCTAGCAAATTACTTAATCTCTCTGTTCCTCAGTGTTCTCTTCTATAAAATAAGAATAATAGTAATCTACCTCAAGAGGGTGTGGTGAGGAATGATTAAATTAATACAAAGTGCTTACAATAGTGTATAGCATTATGGTGACTATAATTACTATCCTAAGACTTTATAATTCTGTAACTGTAAATTGAATATTTTTTGATTTTCAATTTGAGATGCTTATTGCTAAAGTAGGAAAAGAGCAGTTTATGTTTGTTATATGTATCTTGTATCCAGTCAACTTTCCAAGTTATATTTTTTACTAGGTTTTTTTTAACTAGAGTTTTTTTTACTATAGTCTTTTGAATTTTCTGATAGTACAATCATATCAGCAAAAAAAGTTATAATGTTTCAGATGATCATAACAATTTATTTTCTTGTCACTGCATTTGGTAGAACTTCCAAGATATGTTAAATAATAATGATGATAGGCAAAATAAAAATAATTTATTTTGGTTTGTTTACTTTACCAATATTTACTGTTAGGTTTTAGTAAAAAGTCTTCATTATATTTAAGCAATTTTCTCTTTTTCTTTTTTACTTAGAGTGTCTGTTAGGAATGGTATTAAGTTATGCTGGCTCATATATTAAGTGGGACCTTTCCTTCTTTTACTATAGTCTTAACTAGTTTAACTGGCATGAAAAATATTATTTAAGGTTAGCTAAAACTCAGATGTGGTGCCATTTGAATGCAGTCTTTAAAAAAGTATATCTTTAATCATTTTCTAGTCTTTTCTATGATAGGTTGAACTCTTCAAGCTTTTCAATTTCTCTTGGGTCAACTTAGGTAATTTATATTTTTCCTGAAATGTATCCATTTCCTCTAAATTTTCAAATTTGTTGATGAGAAATTTTAAGTTTAACTTCTTTATCATTTTTTTCTCTCTCCCATATCTGTAATGATGTTTTCGTTCTCATAA